ATGTTCTTTATCCAGAGCTGAATACTTGTCTTAAGCAACGGTGGTTCAAGTTTGATTTGTGACTATGTAGCAAAGTCCATCCATCCCAAAAATCTGTCGTATATTATTTATTATATTTATATATTGCACCTTTGTCTACCAGGCATCTAGGATGATGTACTATAAAAAGATCAATAAAAATTTTATCTGGTCTCAGAAATGAAAAAACAAACTACCAATTAATCTGAAATCTGCCATCAAAATACAGCTGGATTCATTAAAAGAAATAAACATTTGAGTCCTTTTGTTCATAAGGTGACTATTTTTTTATACAATCTCCCCACCCAACCTTCCCATGACATTAACTGGGTTTATGTTATTGAAAAAGCTTTGTCAAATGTGCTAGCTCTAGGGCGCATTCTTTAGAAACATATTAGTCTTCTGCTAATTTGATATAAATTTTAATTGTATTATTATTCTCTGTACTTTTTGTCAATGGCTGCCTCTTGACATTCAGGTAAGAACATTGGCTGTTTCTCTGCATTGATGTGATTAAGATCTTATGTTGTATAAATTGGAATGTGACTCAACAAACAAAAATGGCACTGCTCAAATCTGGTCTTAAGTCATTAACTTTGAAATTGCAGTTAAGTAATTTTTGAAGATTGTATATGAAGGTAATAGATGTTATACAGCCAGTGATTTACAATTTAATATCAAATCAATATATTTATCACCTCAAATTTGAGAATATGGAATATTTCTTACTCATTTCAAATTTGTTCATGACCAGAAGAAGCCAACTTCAGCTTTAGTTGAAAGTTTTATCTTTAAAACAGCTTAGATCGGATCCACCAAGTCCACCAGTGGTTTCAAAATCTTTGTAAATAGGATAGGAAAAGCAGTATTTGTATTATCATTTTGCAGTTTTACAATGGGAAATTGTAAATGATTTTTTTCTTAATTTTGCTAGAAGATGAAATTTGAGTGGCTAAGCACAGCTATTTCCTGTATCTAATTGCCTGCCCAATCTCACCCCCAACCCTGGAAACTAAAGAACATATCTGTCTGGCCCTCTATAGTTGGCAGCTTTGGTATAAATAAATCAAGTAGTAGCTATGTGTATTAGCTACACTATTTTTATTTTACAGATTTAAGAGATTGGTGTCATTATGATGGTTGCTGTTACAGCTGACAGTCACTGAAAGAGTGGGAGGTTGATACAGATTGTATACTCATTCCTATCTCAATCCTGTATGCTCTTGTTCTGCACTTTTCCCCATCTAATGAGCTTTGAGCCTTTGTCTTCTCATGTTTACTTATTGATGGATGTTGCTTGTTTACATTCTCTGCATTCTTGCTCTGATAATCTCTTGCTACTGATGGTATCCTGACACATCATAGTGGTTAAGTCTATGACCCTGTGCTGCAATCTGAAAGAAAGTTCTAACACATCTGGAGCAAGTAATTTGCCCTTGATAAATTTATCCCTGATGACAGTTCCCACTCAGATATAATCTATTACTGGTATTAACTTGCTAATGCAAATCTGAAGAACACCATAAATAGCTCATTACTGAATAGAAATACAGATATGACTAATTTTTAAAGTTTTTTTCATATAGAAAACATGAAATGTACACTATACTAGTGCAGTGAGTTTATTACATTAATTTCAGCATGTGGATTTCTTGCTGTTTTGTACTTTGCAGGAATCTTGATTTGCTTAAAGCATTTTTGTGCAAATAGCTTACTGACTATACTAAGTCTGGACTGAGGTGATAGATAAATCAGATAAAGAAATAAAAATAAAAAATAAGTGAATTAAAACTGGATTGGGGAAAGTCTGGAGACTGGTAGCAAATCATTTAAAGAAGACTATATCTACCGCTATGCTTTACTTTAGGGTAAAGTATTACTATTAAGTACCTAAATCAACATCTACATAGTTGTCCAAAAAGGCAAGGAGGAAACTAATTGCAGTGGATATGTAGCAAGTGAGACTTGTGTGATTCTATTTAGCATAGATTTATTTCTGAGTAAGGTGCAAACACTTGCAGAAAAAGTGACATGTTAGCTGTTGAAACAATAGCAAACATTTAGAAGAATATTCATGATGTTGAAATTATGCATTCAAGTGGGATTTTGTTATCTAAATACATCCACTGAAAATAAGAAAAGCCCTTAAAAGTTTTGTATACAGGCATTAGCTGTTACTTATAGATGGTTCCGTAATACTTTAAAGCTCAACAAATGTAATGAGTTAAAAATACCCTTTTGTCCTAAGGTTTTTGCAGAATGCTTGACAATATTGTCTTTATGAATCTTCATATAGTGAGCTTTCATACATAAGTCTTGTAGACTAATACTAATTTGAATATAATCACATATTTCCTTGTGACCTCCTGATGAAATTTTGGGTACATTTATGAATATTTTAAATGAAATGTTAATAGGGCAAAAAGCACTATATTGCAATATTTTACTGTATTATCAGATTGAATAGAATGCTGTATTGGCAGAAAAGCTGAATTTGAATGGAAGGTTTCTACTGTACACTATATGAGGGTTATCCTTTCCAAGAATGAAAGTGGTAACAAAATAAATAGAATAGTTTTTCCTGATGATCTTGAATTCCCTACATTATACTAATAATGTAGAAAGAAGCGCCTCAACAGTAGTTTCCCAGGTATACACCATCATGTAAAATGGGGCCTAAGATCCATCTAAAGCCTACTTTAGAAAACCCTAGTGGTGGGAAGCCTACAGAATCACCATATCTGCTTTTCTTAGGTTTTTCTCTTCCAGGAATTCTGGGGAAGGGAATTATGTATGCAACCTGTATGTAACTGTAATTTCATCACTCTTCTGGGAGATATATTGTTGTTGAACATACTGAAAAGTAAAAATAATGGAGAGGAGAGGAAGGGACAAAACAAAGAAAGGAATGGGACAGAGAAAGAGGAAATGGTATGACAGACATTAAGCTGTCTGGTAGAACAAATAGAGAGCCAGTTGGTATAGTGGCTAAGGCATTAGGCTAGAAACCAGGACACTATGAGTTCTAGTCCTGCTTAGTCAAAAGCCAGCTGGGTGACTGTGGGCCAATCACTGACTCTCAGCCCTAGGAAGGAGCCAGTGGCAAATCACTTCTGAAATTGTAGGGACTTGACCAGGGTTACGGTGAAAAATAATAACAACAATAACAAATAGGAAGTATGATGGGGAATAGAAAGGATATGAAGCCCATGTGGGATGTAGAAAAGTGGATGGTTAAATAGAAGCAATTAAAATGGGAAGGAAAGAGCATATGATATGATGGACAGAGAGAAAGTAAGTTTTGAGAGGAAACCAAAATGTTATAGATTAATAGAAAATGGTCTGAGGATATATTTAATGAAGTAGAGAAAGACAGAAGAAAGTTGACTTGGTGAGAAAAATATTTATCCATGGATTAAAAGCAAGACAATGAAATTAAATTCTTGCTCTAATTTATTTAAGCTTTTCAGTCTTAAATTAATTAAAAATAATGTTAATGCCATTGCAGAGTTTTGCCTATTTAAAATAATAGTCAAAATTAATAAATAAATGAGAGAATTACTTTATTTTATTGTTCTTTTCCTTCCCCACTATTCCCCCAAGAATAGAATTTAGGGTTGGGAAAATAATCTATTAAAATAATAATGCCTCTACCATTTCCATTCCCATTTGAAGTCCACTTATGTTGGTCAGATCATTTCTATTTCTCCTCAAGTTAATTCTGTTTTAACTGTTCTATTTCTCCTCAAGTTAATTCTGTTTCTTGATCATATACATTTTGTGTATGCTTAATATAGAATATTGAAGGTTTACATTCAAAAGTAAATCGAACTGGAATCCCAGTTTTAATGTTTATTGCATTCATTTATGGATAATAACCTAGGATGATATGGTTGGCCTCAGTTTTCTGAAGATTAAATAGGACTATAGGAATAGGCTATCCTGACACTGTTCTTTACAGATGTTTTATCCTCCAATTCTTGTTCTGCACACTGTAATGAATTCTGATGAAGGCATTGTAGCCAATATGCTGATGGGCAACAGGTTGCAAAAAGATGGCTACCATATTGAATGTAGATTTTAAGGGAGGTGATATATATCTAGAATATCAGCATTTTGGATTCTTCCATAGTTTTAGGGAAATATACAATTCCATGAGATTAATGAAACATAAATGTTTAGTTGCCCATTCTTCTATATTGAAATGGGGGGGGGGTATTGTTTTTGGTTTTTGCTCATGGTGCCTTGAAGAGTACAGGATTGGAAGTAAAGTCTTGACAGACTATATTTTCTGAAGTGTTTACCGACTTTATATACATGTCACTAGCATAGTGAAGAGTTCCCTTAGATTCCATTTTGGTGGCCTCTATTTATCTGGAATGTGGTTGGAATTTTGGTCTAATTATAAAACTAATATTCAGAGTTCGATAAGCAACCTTTCTGTTTCAGCATATAGAAGAACAGTGCATGTGCCCTCACTAGTGTTGAACACTTGACTAAGTTGACTTTGAACTCTTTTCAAAGAGCCCCCACCGAATACACTATAGCATTGTATGGATTACAATTTCATATTTCCTAAAATATTAAGGATTGATAGGGGTTTTTTCCTTCTTGATACCTTAAAAATGGAGTCAATAATTCAATCTCTACCCAGGAAAACCACTGTAATTTGTTTTAATGGAACAAATTAGTTTGCAACTCAGCATCAATTTGACAAAATCATGTGAGTATCTTTTTGCTGGATACAAATTCATACTACATTCTTCTGTGTGAAACAGATCTCTGAATTTCTTTATGAAAACCCTATGATGAAATCTAAGCATAATTTATTTTTCCCATAAGGAAATGGTTTCAATGTAGTAATGTTTTGTACATTTGAATTGCTAAGATAACATTTCACCTAGAGATGCCTGGCATAATTAAAAGCTGTGATATAGATGAATATCTGAAAGCTATGGAGTTGATTTCTTCATGTTTTACAGCTGAAATCTTAGAAGAAAAACCTGCAGATTCACTGCAAGATTTATACCGATCCTTGGAACTAGCTAGTTTGTCCCCTCTAGGAGATCGGCAAATTTCTACCAAAATGGAATACAAGAAATCTTTTATTAAAAGATGTTGTGACCCAGTAATCAATGAAAAATTGCACCAGTTGCGAATTCTGAAAAGCACTTTAAAGGTAAGTTGAAGAGGAAGTAGTAAATCTCACTGAATAATAACTATTATTATTGGAACTGTTATTATTGGTCTGTACATAGAAATCTGATAATTTGTTGCACATTTTAGAGAGGCAGATTCTTAAAAATACCATTCACAAATATGATTTGAAGAAGCAGTCTTGACTCATGAAACTTCTGGCCTATGTAAATAGGGAGAGGATCTACTATGAAGCTACTGTGATACTTGAAAGCAGAATAATGATTTTTTTTGGCTTTCAAGATTTCTAAAAGATAGCCAGCATTCCGTGTGTAATGAAGTACTCTGAGAATTTCTGTGTCAATGCATGGCCAACAAGGATTCTCCAATTATTCCTGATACGCATTTCTTAAGCCACAAAATGTCTTTGTGCTCTTTTGATTGACATTTTTTGTGTTTCTTTAATATACACACTTATTAAAGTTAGAATAACAAAAATAGAACAAATGTATTGGTTAAAATAAGAGTATTTATTTTGTAAGACATAGAACTAGAAAATCCTTAAATATAATGATTAAAAAAAAACCCACCAAAGTCAATTATCTATCAATTATTATGACGATAGGGTTAAACTGCTAAGGAACAAGATGTCTTGAATATTCAGATGCGTGTTTTCTTTCTCATTTTTATCTTTTTTGTTTCTTCAAGGCCAGAGAAGAAGAAGTAGCTATGATAGATAAAGTTCTAGATAATCCAGATTTGACATCTAAAGACTTTCAAGACTGGAAACAAATGTACCTTGATCTCTTCCTCGATAGTTCTCAGAACAATGCAGCAGAGGATCCGGTAAATGACTCTGATGACGTTGATGTGCTTCTAGACTCTTTAGCACATACCCATTCCTATATTGAAACACATGTATAATAATAATTTTAAACATCTTAATATTTTGTTTTCAGCCCTTTTTGGCACTCCAGACTTTCACTCGAAAGAGTAGCTTTTATATCACATTGCAGGATATCTATTTTAATGTTTCTGATATGAGTAAAGTACATTTTTCATGGTCATTGTGTGAATAAAAACATATCCTTTTTATGCTGCTGATGCTCAGTTTATGTTTATGTTTACAGATGTTGGCTATGATCCAAAGGAGTGTGCATTTATGGATTAGAATGATAAGCATTTTGTTTGATGTTGGTGCTGACACAGTCTTCACTGCTGAAAAGTCAGTTTACTTTTTGAACTGAAGAGAATCTCTCAGTTTGCTTCTTTGGATCAAATCCATTGTCTTTACCATTTTTTAAAAAACAATGCGTATATATTTTGGAGGATTACATTGATTTCTCAAGAAAAAGTTGGCATAAGAGCAGTGTTTAGCTACTGAAGATTAATTCTATTTCCTGTTTTAATAATATGTAATTGTTGTAATGAGTTACATTTTCAAAGTGCAGCCTTTGTTTTAGCCAGTGTGACAATTAAACTTTTATATTTAGTGGAATATTTTAGATATTTTCATAAATTATAGAAGAAGTATAATGCTGTGAATTATGATTGCATTTAAGGAAAAGGGTCAGGGAATAAGAAAAATGTACTTTCATAAGCTTGAATATTAAAAATACTTTCCAGGTTTTTGGGGGTTGATTAGCAGACAATCTATAGCATAGATTAATAATAAGGATAAAGGGCTCACTTTGCTTTGATTTTAACACAGTTCTTCAGAACAGTACGATTGACCTCTATTATTGCCCCTTGGGTGATTTTTATAACTATTAATACCGAAAAATGTTGCTTTACCAACCAAAGTATCCCATTCATTAATTTGTTTTAAAAAACCTCAGTCTTATGACAGCTGAAGCCATGTTTTGAACTTTGAAAAGACTTTGAAAACTCTGACTATCAACAAGGTCTTTATTTGCTAATCTACTAGACATTCCATATTTATGGGGAAAGTTATACTTAATTCAACATAACAGTTTCAAAAGGCATACATATTCATCATAAAATCAGTGTCCTAGATTTTTAAATTAATCCTCAAGAATCACTTTAAATATCTTAAATTGTTAGTTTTTTAGAACAAAAAAATCTATATCAATCTGTAGCAAATAACATGCCATATAAGATTGAGGAACTTCTGAACATTAATAGAGAAATATTATCTAGTTGTTCTTCAGCTCTAACCCTTTTATCTATTACTCATTTTCATTCCTAAGTGTCTGAACAATAATGTAGATCAATGTGGGCCTAAAATCACTGGGGGATAATTTATTACTAATTTAATTGCCACTGATTTTATGTGTATACTCCTGTGGTTCCCAACTGTGTGCCATGGTGCCACAGCACCAGTGAACTTACCATAGCGAAACTCATAAGGGTGTCATGGGATATTTTACATTTGAATTTAACTACTTAATAAATGGAACTGTTAGGTATTTCTTTGGGCCTAGATGCGCCATGAAAAAATTACCAAGACACTAAGGGTACTGTGAACTGAGAAAGATTGGGAACTTCTGGTTTCTTCCATAAATGGTTAAATCTGATTAAATACAATTTTTTGTATACCCATTTCCTGATGTCATGAATTTGTTTTTATAAATACTAATTTACAGCTCTCCTTTAAGTTTCCAGCATAGGTGTAGCAAATACCTTTCAAGTGTGAACTAACACATATTGGTCATAGTGTTCAATCCCTTCTTTTCCCCTTTCTTATCCATTTATCTGCCATTATTGTTCCTGCCTTTGCTCTAGAATTGAGACTATAGCACATTCAATTACTTTCAAGATGGAAAGTAAAGGAAACATTTTGCCTTGAAACTGTAATTAGAGTTCAGAGGTGAAAGGAGAGAGCACTGTCAATTCCAGTGTGTCTTATACCCTTCTGTTGGTGTGTATGCACACACCACCTTTGCTTAAGCACTGATCTTCTACTAAAGGGGAGAAAATTGGCAAGACCTTTCTCTATTTTGTTTCAAAGCAAATCTGAGATTTACTATGCCTTCTTAAGTGCATTTAGAGAGCAATAACAAATGCAACAGAGGGGAAAGGGGGAGAGGAAGAAGATGAGCAGTGAAGTTCATCCAGTATAATAGTAATAGACCAGTAACAGCTGGTCTGAATTTTTGTTAAGGTGAAATATATATATATATATTTCATTCTGTTGATCATGTGAGATGAGAAATGATGCTTACAGAGCACAGGGCTGAACAACAAGTACAGCTGTCTATTTGGAGAGGACAAAAAAAGTGGAGTGACATTTCTTTACCATATCCTCATTGACTGCTTGAAGCATCTACTGCACAATTATATTTCAATCAAGCCAGTGTTTGTTCAAATTTAGGAAAAATCATATGGTTGTGATGCCTGCATTCTTACAGAACATGCATATCACAAAATTATTCTTGCTATAATATAGCCAAAGTCCCAATACAGTAAAAGTCAAAATGTTTTGAGCAGATCAGTCTGTGCCTGGCTAGGGATGTAAGAGGCAACTTGTATATTTTTGCCTTTATCAGCACCTTCAATTTTGTCCTGGCAAAAATGTCCATGTGGCTTCTTGATGCTTTTCTGCACATGTGAGGAACTGAGATACAAGCTGGTAAATACCCACATAGGTTAGTCTTTCCTTTTTTTTAAGAAAATGTACTCTTTCTCAACTTGCTTCCAGCTTTTGCCTGTTCAGCTCAGTGAATGTATTTTAAAAATTTAAGAGCACTATTACGTTCTGGTCTTGGGACCAAAATAAAGAGCAGTGTTGTTTGTTTCTTTTCAGAGGCATTTTGGATTGCAAACGTTTTGCAAACTTTGCACAATTGTTCAGGAGAGTGGCCTTTTACAGCTCATTTAAGTGCATCGATATTCAGTTGAGCTCGGAATGATAAACCATGCATTGAGATTTGTATGAAATTCCTGATCCAGTGACCTGTTTATATCATGTAGAAGAACCTGTTTGTATAAACAGTTATTGACTGCATGACTTGTTATAATTTGTGATATTTTGTATATTTCTCACATAAAAATGCTTGATCTGAAATGAATTTTGTTTCAAATGTTTATTCTAAACTATGGCTGAGTTCTCGTAATGCCACAAGACTTTAATTTTTGTAAGTGTTGCTGCATAATTTCCACATAGATGAGGATTCAAGTTAGAAAACAAATGGAGATTAGGATATTATTGTTATTAGCATTAGTTTTATGTGGCACGTTGAAGGTTTTTGCAGAAACATATACCATAAATATATGGAGAGCATACAGAGCAATTTGCAGCTAAGAATGACTGAGTATAATAGGAAAAGTAGTTGGCATAATTGTATATCTCACTTTCTATGTTTCTTTGATGCAGAAAATATTTTCATTTGAGAAGTATCTTGAACGCTATATGTGGATACTTATTTATTCCAATTACTCTTATTGTAAGAGTCTATATTTTGGTTCAGTAGAAGTCTGTGGAGAAGCTGAGAACATTCAAGGCTTCTCAGTGTATCTACACGGTCTGGGAAAGTGTGACCAGCCACATCTTCAGACACCCACAGACAAAGGCTAACATTTCAAATACACTTCATGTAGGAAAACAAGAGCATAATGCAGTGCATAAGAAGGCTTTAAACTTGTGCAACATGGGGCTGCACGGGTAACTGACCGTCTTGAGAATCTCTGCCTCGCTCGCTGATACAAAGTGAGTGCATGCCAGCAGATTCTCAGGATGGGGCCATCAGGCAGCTTATATGACAGCCTGTTGCTATGCAACAGTTATTCTGCCTACAGGTTACCTTGGCAAAGACAGCTTTATGTCTTTCAAGGACAAAATTCAACTACATCTTACATGATTTGTCTAACTTAAAATGCAGCTGTTATACTTTCTTTTAACAAAAGCTACATTGATGCACATCTCATTATGTGAACTCAGACTAAAATGGATTTCCTTTAATATGAGCTTTTAAATACACCAAGTTTTGAACTGAATATAATGATAATTTTCATTTTCTCTCAGATTTCACACTGGTATACAGAGAAAGTATTTGATTTCCATCAGGGTGGCTTAAAACCCAAAACATACAACCCTACTCTAGCAGTAATACAGGACATGGCTATTTATGTCCCGTGCAGTCAAAAGCGTGAATCATGTATAATATATGCATAGGCAACTTTTATTAGTGTGTACATAACAAACATTTTCCCAGCAGCATGATCCAATAGGGCACAGAATGTAGGATGTTAAGAGCTATAACTCAAGACACTATTGTATATACCATTTAGTGTATTGCCTTGCTTAACACAATGCTGCTACAATTATTTGTGGTTGTGGCTTTCTCCTGCTCCATAAATTTCACCAAATGGAAACCAATGGAGGACAAAATTGAAAGTTTGAGTATGAAAAATTTCACTTGCCTTTTCACATGCTGTTTATAATTATATTTTCCAACCTGGCATTTCAACGATACTTGAAAAAAATGGCTTTTTCCTGAGATGATCAGTCTATATACATGTGTAGGTAATGAATTACATAGCCAACGAGCACATGTTAATGTTATGCAGCCACTTGGATTAGACTAGATAGTAACAGCAGAAGGCAAATCAGAAAAAGAACAGCTGTCCCTTTAAATAGAATAAGAAGACAGTTAAGAATCCCTGATAACACCACAGCTCCTACAGCTATATTTAATTATTTGATCATTTCATGAAGCTAAATAAGGGTGAAGGAGGTGCTGCTTGATTTTCATGTGAATTAACCAACATTGTTTAACAAAGGTGGACCACACAAAAATGCAAAATTAGAAGTATGCATCTTGGAACCCACAGTTTTTCATAAAACATTAATCCTGCCCCTGTTTCAGGCCATTCCTATCATAACATAATGAAAATCCTGGCTCTGCATTTCTTGGAGTTTAAGTAATATAAGTAGAAATATTTTCCCTTTGAATTTAATTCCTGTAGCAAAATACACGTTACGTTTTTACATTCATTCCCTATTAGCAACAAAAACACAATTTCATACATACTAACTTGCTGTTTTAATCAGCAATGTATCTATGTTTAACCACATCGATTGTATAATTTAAATATATGATGATGATGATGATGATGATGATGATGATGATGATGATGATAATAATAATAATAATAATAATAATAATAATAATAGTTTGAGTCTTTAAAAATGTATTTTGTGTCCTTCCTGATTATCTTTGTCATCACAGTTCAGTGAGGCGTAACCTCAACAGTTGGTCTCTTTTGTTGCTGAAGGTCTTTAGCTTCTACTAATTCAGAAAGTCCTAGCACTGCACATTGCAATCCATACCAAGGCAATGAAGCTTTGCAGATTTCTTCCCAACAGTCATTATCTATATCATAACCTACAACATCCTGAGTTGGAATCTCCTGGGTGTCTTGCCATTTCTTCCCTCCAATAAGAATGGCAGTTTCTTCCACCACTGCTAAGCCATAACTATATCGATCATATACCAGTGGCTTTAAACGAGTCCACTGATTCTGGTCAGGGTCATATTTTTCAATCTCAGAGAATGGTTCATAAAAACCTAAAAATGTAAAAACGGAATCCCTGATTGTGGCCATCTGATGCCCAAAACGAGCAATGCTCATTGGGGCTTGTTTTCCCCATTCCCCTTCAAGTTTACTCAAAGCATACAAATCCTTACTTGTGTTACTTTGACCCATGTATTTGCCACCTGATATATAAATAGTGTTCTTACAAACAGTACCAGCATGACCATGTACTTTGCAGGGCAAATCATGAAGCTTTGTCCACCTGTCTTTACTAATGTCATAGACTTCAACAGATGAATGCAATGTTTTATCTTCACCTTGTCCACCAATTGCAATGATCGCATTTTCTAAGATGCAGCAAGAAAACTGACACCTTTTTTCCAGCATCCCAGTAATTTGTATCCACTTATTAAATCTTGGGTCATAGCGATGGACTTTATTTGTAACTGTCAAGATGGGACTTTTAGGATCACTTTGCAAATCTTCAATTTCTCCACCAAGCACATATAGAAAGTTTCCAATAGTACATACACAATGGTTTTGTATCCTGTCTGGTAATTGTGTTAAAATTTGCCATTTGTGATTGTAAACATCAAAAGCCACCACCTCAGTGACAAGCCCTTCATGTGCAATCATACCTCCAAGCAGGATAATCCATGTCTTCTGGTTTCTCAAGGTGCTGTATTTATCCTGCAAGATAGGCTGTCTATAAATAAGTGAATGATAGTTTATTGCTTTTATAATTAAGCATTTTATAGAGGTTGTTAGAGGCACTTCTGATTGAGTGTAGATATTTCTCAGATCTTCCACAGGAATGAGACTGTATCTTACATGTTCCAAAATATTAGTAGTGTGTGTGAGCCTCAATTTATCATATGCCAACCACTTTAATAATAGATCTAACAAATTAGATTCTTTCACCATAAGTATATCAGGAGATTTTACTACTGCCTTCAAAGATTGGAAATTCAGTTCCAGCAGACCTGCAAAATCCAGGTCCAGTAGTTTCCAGAGATTAATAATAAGATATTTTTCTGCTGCAGATAAAGCATCTGGAAGATAAAATTTTGTGGCAACATTGGCTGAAAAACAGCAGTTCTCCAGACTCAGATTATTCACCAAGTATTGGCTGCATAAGCAGATTGCCCCAGGTACTTGTAAGTATGTGGCAGCTTCTAAGGTATCTTCCAAAGTGGTAAAAGACAAAGGCAACCAGGATGTATAAATGAAATCCAGAACATGTTGCAACCCAGTGGCTGAGATAACTTGGAGGTGAATGACAGCAGCCTTGGATTCTTTGGTATAACTCTTGAACATGGCCTTGAAGTAATCGCTGGAACAGGCTAACAAAGACTTGTGAGCAGGAAACTCATTTTCTTTTACTTTTAGCAGAATGTCACAGAGCAAGCCTTCCTTTCGGAGAGTTTGGTACTGAGACAGTACAGTGCTGCTGTGTCCTTTGCAATAAGACAAGAAATAAGTCATTGTGCAGCATAAAATGCTTCCAAAGCCCCTTTTGCCAGTGAGGAGAGAAGGGGAAAAATGTGCAAAGTTCAGGTTTGAAAAACAATCTTCTCCCTCTGACGATAGCCCACCTACTAATTTTACATTCATCTCCAACTTAGCATCTGCTATGTTAGCATTTCATGCATTCATTCATAAAGCTGATTCTAGTGTCATCCTTCAACATTTATTTCTCTCACCTCCATTTCCTGTTAAAAGAGTTGATCCATAAGAAATGAGAGCTCTTATTTGGCCAGCTTCAGATGACAGATTTGAGAGTTAGATGGCATTAAGTGACTCTTCTCATCAGCTCAGATATCTCTTGCAGCTTTTCTTTCTCTTTTAGATGATTAAATAGAATTTCTGGGCTTGCCGGTGCATCAGGAAGCATCTGAGAGTAGGGAGAGTTACACATTTTGCTGTGGCTTTTGCCTGAGCTTTGTATTTCACTCTCAGATAACTTTAGCTCTTATTCCCCCGGGGCAACAAGCCAAGTATGGTGATCTTGCTTGTAGGAAGTCTCCACTGAAAATCAAATCAGCACCTACTGATTAGAGCAGGAAGACTTTGTGAACATGTAAACCTTTAACCTGGGAGTAGAAAGATAACAAAATACTAGGATTACTCAGAGGTTTAATTTGACACACATTTTAGAGCCCTTTGGTTTATATGATATCATCATAACTCACAGTGACCAGAATAGACTGCAAACACTGCCTGTTATCGTAGCTGCCCAAGTGCTGAACTGAGAACATTTGGGTGGGAGGGAGAGAATGAGCAAATGAGGGAGGATAAAGCAGTCATTTTACAAGGAGTGCAGTCCAAAGTATCTGACAGTGAGTGGCTTGGATGGAAATCACAAGAGCAACACAGCTTGGAGGAGTGACAAAAAAATACCTAAAACTGTATCCTCCCAACTAATGTGTTTATTGTGGGATCTTGACATAATTGAGTTTCAAGAGATTACTAATGGATTGAATTTGAACTTCTTTAGACAGTCCCTCATAGTAGGAATATGAATGGAAAAACAAAAGTAGCCAGATTACATATAAGTAACTAGAGATTAGTGGCTTTTTTAAACATCTGGGACTTAGAAAATCCAGCTCCTCCTGAAGAGTAAAAGCAGCACCTGCACATCCACATTGAGATGATTCGCTTAATTCTGAGAATCCTTGAATCAACTGACTTGATTTGCCTTCACGGTTTTTATTCTGAGTAAAACATGCTAGTCTAGAAATAAGAAGGCTCACACAGTTCTGAGGCATAATTCTTTGCAGGCACAAAGATCTGGAAAGAGAACTCTACTCTGTCTTACTGGTAAGTTTCACCTTTCCCACCCAGTGGGAAAATATTATAATGGTCGACTATATTGTATGTGTCAGATATTTAGATTACGAACTAACACAGCTGATTGTACAAGGAATTCAAGTTTCCTGAGAGAGTCAGATTTCTAATTTTAAACTTCACTGCATTGAGACCGACCATAGGACGGCAAGGAAATCTGATAAACATCTCTTGTTTTTGTCTAAGAATAAAATAGTTGCAATAATTGTTGATTTGCATGATTTTTAGTTGTAGGAAGCTATATTTTTTAGTGCCTCTCCCGTTTCAGAAATATTTTTCTGTAAATGCAAAATTAACATGAGGGGGAAAATTAATATAGGCTACCTTTCTCTCTTGTATACTGGTTTTATAAATAAATGAGTTTTCTTTAACATGGAAAAGCCAGATAATTCAGTAATATAATATCTTTTCTTTCAGTCTAATTTTGAAATGGCATAGCCCTGAGAAAAACTGCACTATACTTTGATTACATGTTTCTGCTCAGATTATGTTATTTTTTATTTTTATCCCACTCTTCTAATGTAAATGCATCATTTAGTGCATCTTAAAACATTAAAAAATAGTACAAAATTTAACATTTTAAGACCCCCATCAAACTGGCAGAGCAGGAAACTAGATCTTCTGAAATGTACTTTGTGAAAACATTGCATTTCTTTAAATGAAGGCTGTTGATTATTTTGTGGCTATAGCACCCATTAGCGACTTACATATATGAATTACAGTCTGAATCCAGGAATCTGAATTTTCTTATTATCCCCCACACTGTTTTTTAACAGATTTAAGTCACTCAGAGCAGAAACTTTTGGAGTATTGAGTTATTCCATGAAAATATATTAAATGATGTGTGTGAAAAGTGAACTTGGCCAGCATGATCAAGGACAAAGAAGATGAGTCAGTGTGGTTTCAGGCTGCTCGTGATTATACCCCCACCATTTCCAGGAAAAAGGAGCAAAGTAGCCAATGTCAAGCTCTAGAGAGCCAATCCCATTTAAAGCGAATAATGCTAAGCTAGATGGACAAGTATTCAGGCTTCCTAGGCAGCAGCTATCTACAGTGCCTCTTCATGTGTTTCTATCTAATGATCATTTAGATACTTAAGTATAACTTTATAGATGTCTTCCCAGTAGTCACTATTGCTTGCTGATGAAAATCCAACAGATCCAAAATGACATTAATAAACATTATTGTTTGCTGATGAAAATCCAACAGATCCGAAATGACATTAATACATGAGGTCTAGAGACTTCAGACTTCTAGAAACCTAGTCATTCTTGAACAAAGGCACCACAAAGATAGATTTTCTCACAAACTAGCTGAACAGTTATTCATCAAGTGGTTCAATTCTATCTTCATTGGCTTGAAATGGGAAAAATGTTTTCATCAGACTGTTATATCATAGATTACTTTTATAAGAATGTCTGTGGCACAGCCTACATGTGCTTTGGAAATGGGCTCTGTTAGTATGGTAATTTTCATCGCTTCCCTGTAGGTTCTTTACAATCTCTTTTCCCAGTAATCCAATCATGACTGGAAAGTCAATCATTATATATCTTCCAAACTAAGAGTAATACTTTATGTAGCTGATGGAAACACAAAGCTTATGTCATATTAAATACATTATTTTTAGGTGCCACAAGATGCCATTGTTTTTATTTTAGCTGTGTATATAACACCAGAGACAGTGTGTAAACACTGGAGGGGGAAAATGCAACATTTAAAAATGTCCAGTTTTCACTCTGGCAAGATTTACGAAACCTGACCTGCAAGTATTGCAATTGCTGAAGATGGGCTCTGCTGCCTTGAACTGTAATTGGCTGCAAAGCTGGTTCAATGTCTTTCCATATGTGCATCAGGTAAGGGAAGCGCACACCTGGCTGTTACTGCATCCTGATGACAAAGGAAGTGGGAAGTGATACTTGTCACAAGTTTCAGCAGAAATGTGAGGCTAAAGAACTGAAAGATCATCACAATTATTTGGAAGTCCCAATCACAAAAAGTTTTGTTTTTATTTACTGGCAATGATACACTCTCAGGATGTTTTATGTTTGTTGTAAGATGGTAAGTGATATTCAAGGAATATCCAGAAGTCTGATAAGACACTATCAGCTTCATGTTAAAGTCATGCATCATCCTTTGGAACTGTCGTTAAAATAAAAGCAAAAACATGGTGAGACATTGGTGTTTTTTAAAAATGAGTTTTAGATCACTTTGGAAGCCCTGAAAAGTTCAAGTGGGAATCTTCCATTAAACCACAGAGGTGCCTTAGTGCTTATGTTCCACCTACATCTCTATTCCTAACTGCAGCATAAATGTATTGAGACTCAAGCCAGAAAAATGTCAGATTCCCATGAGTTATTTTCCATTGTTATAATCTCTTCTAAAGCTGCAAGCTTAAGCATACCATTAGAATCAATCACATTCATGTCTCCTGTATGTATGTTCAGAACTTCATCAGGAGAATGCATTCACTTTGTATCGCTTCAATTCATGTCACTCTGAAACTGAGCTTAATTGACTGACCTCTTAGGAGCCATTCATTCATGCAGAGCTGCTGAAGCATTTCACACACTCATTAAATATGAAGTCTATGGCTGATGGGTTTACTCCAGGTGAGTGCCAGCCATGATTTCTCCTGGCTGACTTCAAATAATCCATGGCATCTAGAGGTAATGACATGCCAGACCACCAAAGACCTAAATGAATGGCTTTGAGAATGCATTGGCACTGCATGAAAAGAAGACCCGTGGACAATTTAGTCTACTAGCAGGCAATAATTACTGAAGCAATGATTTCCTAGGAGAAAATTCTGCAAAAGTAGAAATGGAATCAGTATGTTGTCTTTTGAGCCAATCTATTCTGTCACCTTCATGTTAAATAAATCTCTTTAAGAGAATCTTTTATCATTTTATAATACATTGCACTGCAATCCAATAGACTTCCTTATCTTCCCCCCTTTGTCCATTGATTTCTTTCAGCTTCATCACCATCCTGGTCACTGGGCAATCACTAATTAACGTGTGTGTGTGAGAGAGAGAGAGACAGACAGACAGACAGACAGACAGACAGACAGACAGACAGACAAAGTGGAATAAAAGATTCTCATTAAAAA